TTTGTCAGACGGACAAAGGCATAGTCGAGAGAGGAAAAAAATTCGTACTCGTTTTGTTTCATTTTCTTTTCTTTTTTTTTTTATTTTATTTATTTATTATTATTGTTTTTTCTTTTTTCTTTTTTTTTTTTTCTTTTTTCTTTTCCTTTTTACATTTGCGTAAGAACAAACGAGGATACAATTAAGAGAAATTAATTATCATCGTAGTTTTGTACAATCATTTGATTTCGTCATTGGTCTAATAGAAAAATAATAGAGAAACAATTGATCTATGTAAATATTTTGAAAGTTAATGCGAGATAATGCGATATTGTTCTTTACGTCGGTTTCAGTTCAAAGAATCTCAGCGAATGTCTTCGGGTCATGACCCACGTGCGTAATGATCCAAACGGTATTCTCTATTTCTCTCTCTCTCTCTCTCTCTCTCTTTCTTTCTTTCTCTCTCTTACAATTAGAATGCACAGCAGAGAGAAGATTACGACCTCCTTTGAGCAAAGTTCATTTCGTCGGAGGAACCTTAAGAGGAACACAAGGAATCAGATAGAAAGAGGAAGATGGGGAAACGACACAGCAAATTTCCCAGGATAAAAAAAAAAAACAAATATCTTTCTCTTTCTTTCTCTCTCTCTCTTCCTTCTTTCCTTCCGTCTTTCTTTCTTTCTTTCTTTCTTTATCCTTTTTTTTTCTTCTTTTTTTTTTCCTCTTTCTTCTTTCCTCTTTTTCTTTCTCTTTTACCTTTCTTCCCTTGCAAACTTCGTTTTGTCCCTTACTAAAAATACGTGTCACGATTCAGAAGCATGGCATTCGGTATGCATGTTGTAAGTAAGAGAATTTCTTTCTCGTGTTAGAAGGACGTTTCCAAGAAGTCTTAGCAATATCTTTGCAAATAGAAACAATCGGTAAGAATAACTCTAACTTCTGGAATACCTTTTTTCTTTTCTTTTTTTTTCTTTTTTTTCTTTTTTTTTTTTTACTTTCTCCCATCTTTAATTTTTTTTTTTTTTTTTTTTATTACTTATTTATTTATTTATTTTTATTTATTTATTTCGTTGTTGTTGTTGTTGTTGTTGTTGTTGTTGTTGTTGTTGTTGTTGTTGTTGTTGTTGTTGTTGTTGTAATAAGAAACGATTCCTTTGGACTGGTTTATTTTTTTAGAAGAAGAAGGAAAATAAAAAAAAAAAAAAAAGAAAAAAAGAGATCAAGTTAAATTTTGAATCCAATTTGTTCATTCGACTGTAATCAATTAATCAAATTAATAAAATCAATTCTAAAATCGACATTTTATATTCAGAGCTATATTGTATTTCAATCTTTTCAATTGTCCCTCGAAATATCATAGAAGTAATTTAAGAAATTTTCGTTTTTGATTATATTTCGAATTTTATTATATAGATTAAATTAAAGCTTTGTCTTTCTTTCTTTTTTTTTCTTTTTTTATCATTACATTATACCTATCTTTCTAATTTTTTTATTTTTATAGAAAAGTAACACTTTTAAAAAGAAAAATATCTTCGTTATCTCTTTCGTTTTCACAGGCATTAAAATTTTAGAAGAGCGCGTCTAGCGCGAGATAAGGTGTCTCAGATTCTATTGAACTCTAGTTGAAATGGAGTCAAGTAACGTAGAGCGAGGAAGACGAACAAGATAAGAGGGCATTATCCATTTAAATGACTTCGTCCGTTCGTCTCGTCTTACGTTTACCTATGTATATTAAAGACGTAATACTTGTTTATAAAGAAATTAACGTCTATATAATAATTAATAATTTAATACTTGCTTGGATTTCATTTTCTTAAGCATTTAAAATAGAAGAAAAATATCTGATAATTTTCGTAGAAATTATTTTTCATTAAAAAATCATTTGTATGATTTCTTTCTCATTCTTTTTTTTTTTTTTTTTTTTATTCAAACATTCACCCGTGCATAAGTTAAATACTCGTTTGAAATGATCGATAAACGTATATTAAATGTTTCAGACAATAAAATTGTTCGATTTAACGCAAGACGATAGATCGAAGTTCAAGTAGGCTCTGCGTGTGCGTGTGCGTGTGTGTGTGTGTGTGTACGTGTGTAAAAAAGAAAATATTTCTTTCCCTTTCTCTCTTTCTCTTTGTCTATCAAAAATTCTCGACAATATCTTTCTTGATAATATCACATTACGATTTATAATTCATACATGATTGAACATTAGAAGTACTTTGTACCGTGGTTAAACGAAGAATAGAAAAAGAAGGGAATAAAGAAATCGTCATAAAGGGTGTCGTCCGAAAGGAAGCAACCGGTGTTCCATTCTCGAAAGAACATTAAACCAAAGGAAGCAGATGGTCTTCGTAAAACTCGTAAAGACGAGTGGGAGTCGTCGTAGTCGTTGTTTGTTCGTTCGTTCGTTTTCTTTGTTCGTTCCAAGACACATTCCGTGCATGCAAGGAAGCAGGTAGAACTGAAGGATATTGCAAAAGCTTTTTTCTATAAGAAAAAGAAAGAGAGAGAGAGGGAGGGAGGGAGGGAGGGAGGGAGGGAGGGAGGGAGGGAGGAAGAGAGTGCACTTTGAGCATACACAAAGATCATACCTTGCTTTTCATTGGCTTCGAAGTGAAAGAGAGATGGAAGGAAAGGGAGAGAGAGAGAGAGAGAGAGAGAGAGAGAGAGAGAGAGAGAGAGAGAGAGAGAGAGAGAGAGAGAGAAAGGAGGCTGATTTCGAGTAAAGGATCGAAGTTTATGTCCCCTTGGCAGCTGCCTACCGATCGTGATTAAAGAGTGAAGAGAAAAAAAAAGAAAGAGAGAAAAAAAAGGAAGAAAAAAGAAAAGTAAAGGAAGAGGAGGAGGAGGAGGTGGAGTAGGAGGAAGAGAGGAGGTGTATAAGAAATACAAATTTCCACACGAAGAGAAAGTAGGAATGAAATCGAGAAAGTTTATCATAGATATCACGAACCAATTCTCTTCCATCGTTGAGTTTAGATCGGAAAGGTTGAAACTAATCGAGTACTCTTTGGTTGACCTAGATCGTCAATTCTAACATACACACACACACATACCACCACCACCATCACCACCACCATCACCACCACCATCATCATCACCTTCGAAATCTTGATGCTTATTATATTAGTTTTATATTTCAAGTGGATCCAACAAATTTTCATCTCTTTTTAATCCATTTTCACGCTCGATTTTAATGAAACGTAGCAGGAGAGAGAGAGAGAGAGAGAGAGAGAGAGAGAGAGAGAGAGAGAAAGAGTGAGAGAGAAAAAGAATTTCTATCCGATACGAATAATTTGACTTTTAACAGGTTCACCTTTTAATTAAATTTTTTCTCTCTCTCTCTCTCTTTGTTTTTCTTTTCTATTACACATCCTTTCAGTTCGAAATTGCCTGTTAAACGAAGATATTCCTATTGAATGATACAGATAGTTCATAAATCGAAAGAAAATTAAGATAAAAGAGAGAGAGAGAGAGAGAGAGAGAGAGAGAAAAAAAATTATGTAAATATCCAATATCAGATTGATGAAAATTATCAAAATATGATTATTTTCGAATATTATTATAAAAATTGTTTACTTAAAATTTCATTGTATGCTTTTCTTTTTAAGATATTCATAAATTTTTTTTTTTTTTTTTTTTTTTTTAATACATAAACTCATACACGTACACGAGTATGAAACAAGTCAGGGAAATTTTTTGTTCGTACGATACAATATGTACTTTTATATTTTTATTGTACGAAGTCTCCCACCGTATATATATATATCATATCATACTTCATAAATGATCAATTTTATAAATTCCTTTATTTCCCCCCCCCCCACTATATTTTTGTTTGTTTTCAGCGATACATATGCGATATATTTTATTCTATTAATCGGATAGTAGTAGATTTTCGTTTAGTGACCGTGGACGTATAAAATTGATTTCGATTAAAAATAAAATGGTACAGATGGAAACAGGTAACTCTAAATAAATCAATGAATTGTAAAATGATAAAATCGGGACGTATATTTTTTTTTTCTTTTTTTTTTTTTTTTTTTTTGATAATACCATACGTGTCATCTCTGCATGTGTGTGTATATGATCTATATTTGATTTATACATTTATCACGAGAGAAATGAAATCTTCGCTATCTTTCCTTTCGAATTAATGGAGATATATATATATATATATATATATATATATATATATACTAGAATAATTGTCAGTAACTTTTATAGTACTATTAATAACGTAAATTTTAACTGAGCGTGAAATGGATGAATAATATCGAGAATTTCGGTCACGTATATACGTACCTAACCTTTCCATCGTACACGTTGAAATGTGAAAATTGATTTTGATTAATCAAACAAAAAAAAAAACAAAAAAAAAAACAAAAAAAATAGTACAGACATAGACAAGAAACTCTGAATAAATCAATGAATCACAAAATGGAAAAATCGAAATGTATAATTCCTTTTCTTTTTTCTTTCTTTTTTTTTTCTTCTTTTTTTTTTTTTTTTTTTTTAATAACAACGAGAAACAAATGGCGTTTGTTTTTCTTCTCTTGTACGTGCATTCATATTTATATTTTTGTCACGCGAGAAAATGAAGTGTACGTGAAATCTTTGTTTTTGAATTAACGTATTAATATATATATATATATACGTCAAAATAATTGTTAGAAATTATTAATATCGTAGCATGAATAAAAAGCATGAATAATTTCAGTAAACGTAATATTGTTAAGTAATATTAAGGATTAATAGAATGAATTTTTACCTGAACGAAATGGTCGAATAATTTCGAGAAGTTTGGTTACGTCCTTTGCATCGTAACGAACGATCTCTGGTACACGAACGTAAGAACCCAAGTAACCGGAAACAACGTGCCTAACGAATTCCGCTTCTCGTTTTACGCGTATTTTCTCATCGTCGTTCCCATCGTTCTCGTCGACGTCTTCATCGTCGTCGTTGTTGTCCGACAAAGTCTCCCTTGGTAACGATTTCCGGAATCGGATTACCTTCTGCTCCTGAAACATCATAGATCTTAAAGGATACGAAAAAAAAAAATAGAACGAAGTATGGTACCTTAGGGATTAACTTCTGTTTAGGATTCGAAATTGAAATCTTAATGAAAATCACGAAATTATGAAGAACGAAGAAATTAGAAAAAATAAAAATAAAAAGAAAAAAAAAAGAAAAAAAAAAGAAAAAAATAAAAAAATAAAAAAAGAAAAGAAAAAACCAAAGGAAAAGGAAAACGAGACGAGTCTTTGATAAATTCAAGGCCGTATTTAGCGATGCGTGAAACAGGAAAATCCATCTTTTGCGTCGTGAACAATAAAGAATGCTAATCGAACAAAAATTCTTTCTTCTTACATCTTATCTCTTCTTCTCTCTTTCTCTCCCTCTCTCTCTCTCTCTCTCTCTCTCTCTCTCTGTCTTTCTCTCTCTCATTCTATTTTTATTTTTTTTTATTTTCTATTTCTTTCATTTTTTATTTATTTATATATTTTCTTTTTTATTACATTGCAAATTTAACCTTACGTCGCTAATAACTCGCAAGCAAGCAAACGATCGATACGACCGACAACTAAAAAAAAAAGAAAAAAAAAAAGAAAAAAAAAAAAAGAAAAAAAAATATAATCTACAACAAATAGAAAGATAAGTAAACAAAAAAAGAATAAAAATACAAGAGAGAAAAAAAAGGACAGAAAAAAATTATCTCCGACGCAAACTTTTTCCAAAGAAGAATTATACGTTGATATATTATATATACGTAAAATAAAATAAAAAAGTCTAAAAAAAAAAAAAAAAAAAAAAAAAAAGAAAAAAGAAAAAAAAACTAATCAGTCCTCGCGACGGATGGTCTCAATTAATACGAAATTTTTAAATCAAACTTTACCTTTTTTTTTTTTTACTATTACGTTCTCTCTGTCTCTCTCTCACACACACTCTCTTTCTCAATTTAATTTAAAAGATAGAAGTAAAGGGAAGTAAAGGTGTAGGAGGGGATGGGGGATGCGGGAGGGGGGAAGAAAAAAGGAATTATAAAATTCGATTATATAGTCACAGCACGCGCAGGTTACAGTTGCTCTCTTAGGCTTTCAACTAAGTAAGAATATATATATATATATCGTGTTCGTCGAAATGAACGGACCGGATAATTCCTTTCACTTCTCTCATTCAACTCGTTGGAAATAATATTTTACCTTGAATCTAACTATACGTATAATACATAAATAAACAAACTATATATACATATTAAAAAAAAAAAAAAAAAAAAGAAAATCATATATATATATGTATATATATGTATATAAAAAGTTGCATACGATGACATTTCGATGGAGTCAAACGCATTAACGCGATAACGATAACATTCTCATTTAACTATTATAAAAGTGGGAGGATGGATGGATTTTATTTGAATAATTCGAACTAGTTGATTGCATATAAATTTCCGTATATCTATATACATACGCATATATATATATATATAAGTTTGTTCGATGACAATAAGAAAAGAACTGAAAGACCTTTACATACTTGCCGTACGAGTTAATTATCAAGAAAATCTAAATCTATAGGTTGGATAATAAGTTCTATGGTTGTTCACGGCCCATCCCACTTAACCCGGCACAACCACCCTCGTCTCAGATCCCTTCCTTCTCCCTCTCCCCCCTCCTCGCCCCTATCGATGGAAATATGTAGGTCGGGAGGCCGATGAAATATTGTTAGGTCATTGAAAAAAGAGAAACAGAGAGATAGAGATAAGGTCGATAATGCACGATCCTCGAGACTAACTTGCCTTGCCTCTTCAAGTACAATATAATATATATATATATATATATATATATATATATATATATATATGTATGTATGTATGTACGTAAATACATACATATTTATAATACCTATGTACGTACGTACATATGTATGCATGTATGTATGTATATACGTAAGTATGTGATTTTGCACGTAATGCATTAATCTGCATTTAACTTTGCTGGTATTCATCGTAGTCATCATCTTTCGTTATCGTTGAATCGATACGATCATACAAATGCATCTTGACAACAGTTTCTTCTTCTTTTTCTTTCTATTCTTTTCCTTTTTCTTTTTTTTTTTTTTTTTTTGAGCTAAAAGCATGGGATAAAATTAACGTCGAAGTTATATCTTATTGAAAATACATACAGAGTGGAGGAGGACTTTTAATCGTTAAATATCAGTAATTATTATTAATCATTATAGTTATACATACATACGTATGTACCTACATATGTATGTACGTATGTATATACATGCGTGTAGGATATCGCATAGTTATATTTAAACAAAATTGCTCAAGGAATTTGTAAGAATGGGAAAATTATTGTATTTTAATAGATTCATGTCTAAAGTTATCAAATCTTTATTTCTCGTAATATTTATTATATTATTTCAATTATTTCTTTCGAATATTTATAGACAGATAGATAAACAGATAGAAAGATATTAAATTATTTAGAAAACAAAACAACAATTATATTCTATTATGTTTTATTATTTTAGATATAAATTGTATATACGTTGCAAAGAAAAAAAAAATATATATATATATATAATATAGTGATATATGAATTAATAATGAAAATATAGTATTGAGATAAAATATAAATTTTTTTATACATATATTTTTGTTAATAATATATATATATATATATATATATATATATATATATATTTCGAGAAGTCATTTAATTGGTTTCATTGGAAAAGAGAGACTTTCGCGATTGGGAATGAAAATTTGCGTGCCAATGAAAATTGAGTTGTCACATGCAGTAAATATACATGTATTTATCTATATACATATATACATACATATATATATATATCGTGACGGAACGTGATTGTTCGAAACGTTAAAACGACACGTTTTGGTTTTCGATTATCGTCCTCAATGGGATTTATTAATATTGCAATATTAAAAGATATATAAATTAATATGTAAAATATGTGATTAAAAGTAAAGCTATTATTATTATTATTATCACGTCATTATCATTATTATCATTATTATTATATATAATGTTTAATGTTTAATGTATAACTTACGTACATACACGCAAGGCCGAATGAATAAGTTCAAGGAAATAATTTGAAAAATTCGATAGTTGCGACATTTAATATAGGGATCTAGGGACTTCTAGGGACTTTGTAATAAATGATTCCACTAGACTAATCTATCTTCATTTAGTTGCGTCAGTTGTGCTATTTTTATTTAGTCAAGTTCATCGTTGTTTTACACACAAAAAAAAAGAAAAGAAAAAAAAAAGAAAAAAAAAAAAAAAGAAAAGAAAAAAAGAAAGAAGAAAAAACATCATTGGTGATTTTCCGTAATTAATGATTTTAAAGAGATAATTTCGTATCCACCGTTACCAAGGTGAATGCAATAATGCATATTTTATCGAAAGGGGTGTTGCAACATTCGCGTGAAAATGTGCGAACGAATTACGTACAAGACAACTTGTCTCGCAGCTGTTACATCATTGTAATATCAAGATCATGCATGGGCGTTATTTCATTCCTTCAAGGAGATTTTTTTTTTTTTATTCATTAGAAACTTTTACTTCCTGTAAATGAAGAGAAAAAAAAATTTTTTTGAATTATTCGACGAGAAAGAAAAAAAAGAAAAAAAGAAAAAAAAAGAAAGAAAGAAAGAAAGAAAGAAAAAGGAAAAGAAAAACGGAGAAAAGAAAAGAAAATTGAGATTTTACTCTTTTTAAATCTCTCTTTTTTTCTTTTTTTTTTTCTTCTTCTTTCATTAAAGACTGATCATAGAATTTAAAAGAACATTTATTTTTGTACGTTACTCGATTGAAATAACGCTCTCGTATCTCTTATAACGCGATAGTATTTAAAACACGTTTGCGAAAATTGCAAATGTTGCTCTTATAACACGGTTTCCATATAACACGACTTAATAAACTCGAACACAATCCTCGTATATAGCACAATTACGTTCAACGCAATTTCGACAAAAACATGGCAACGAAATGGACCATTTTATTAGAGGAGAATTATTCCAATGTATCTCATTCGCGACTGATAAATAAACATATAGAACATTTTTTCTTTTTTTTTTTTTTTATTATTATTATTTCGAGTCACCGCTAAAGGAAGAAGAGAATGAAAGGAATAAAAAAAAAAAAAAATGGATTCGCCAATCATCAATTAATATCATCAGAATGGGGGATTTACTTTGAATAATTATTAAATTGTATCAATAAAATATTATATTTGTTAAACAAAGTCCCTGAACGCTTTTATATCAGATTTTTTATTTATATGCATACACGATGACCACGAGTATTATTATTATTATTATTATTATTATTATTATTATTGTTGTTGTTATTATTATTATTATTATCGCATTTTCATTTATCGCGATAGTATCGATAAAAGATGTAACGAAAATAACTCTGACGCGTACAAAAACAAAAAAAAAAAAAAAAGAAAGAAAAAGGAAAAAAGGAAAAAAAAAAGAAGAAAGAAATAGAAAAAGAAACATAAAAAAAAACGAACAGATATACACGCTGGCTTATCTCAAAGTTACGATACGTTATATTAGAGACGAATTAAAAGGAAGCACATAATCGAGTTGTTTTGTTTTTTCTTTCATTCTTTTTTTCGTTTTTTTTTTCTTTTTTTTTTTTTTTTTTTTTTCTTCTTTTTTACGTAGCCGCTTATTATATCCTACACGGTGCGAAAATAATGTGCATATATACGTTTTTGTTTTTTTCTTCATTTCTCACGACTTTAATCGGTATCGCTGATGGAAATTATTGTAAAAAGAGAAAAGAAAAAGGAAAGAAAGAAAGAAAGAAAGATGGAAGAAGAGAAAAAGAAACAGAAGTTAGAAAGGAAAGAAAAAGTGGTGGAAAATAACACGGAGGTCTTTTTTTTTTCATCCGTCTTATCGCGTAAAACAAACGAGCACGTTCTATTTTTTTTTTTTTTCCCATGGCCAAAGTCGTAGGAGTGT